CCAGGCACCTTAGTAATTCGAACGACTATGCTGAGCTATTTCACTGTAGACGGCAGTCCACGTAATGACGAAGTGCAGTGATGGTCCGATCATAACGAGGTATTCACCAATCGAGACTAAAAGAATTGAAAACATTTTGGTAAGTATTTGTTTTGTCAAATGTACAAGCATTTTTTGTCACTTAGTTTGGTATCAAAACTTATGCATCGTTGAAAAGTGTTTTTGCTTGATAATGTCATAGGAACAATAGAAAAATAATAATATACAACTTTGTTGTTTTAAACTTATCCATATAAACTTATCGTACTTTTGCAAAAAATGTACGAATATATAATACAGCTGGATCAATTTAGTTTCCTTAAGTGTACTTTTTTAACTTTTACTAAGAGTAGAAGAAAAGTTTTAGAAGCAAGTAATACAGAATTATAACATAAAATAGAAATGGTTTTTTCCTACAGTTCTTTCCAAATCTTACGTAACTGCCCCAGTGCTCGCTTTTCGCAATAGTTATAAATCTTAGTCTTCCAAAGTGCCACAAGGTAAAATGCGACGGCAATGCAATGGCCCCAACCGGAGCGACACTCGAGCAAAAGTCCTTCCCCAGCCCCTCCATGCCGGTCTAAATGATGATGGGTGACCAGAAAATGGCTAAAATACTTCAAGCTGAAGTCCTGCAGCAGTGGGGCAACAACAAGAACAATGGCAGGATGAAAGCCAAAAGCAATAAACAGGGAAACAAATGAAACGGCGGCAGCACAGGCAGCGAAATGTGTCCTGGAAATGACGGCGATTTTGTCTTCGTCGTGGGTGGTCAACAAAGCCGCTCTCAAAAAGCACGCTTAGACGCAGAAACAATATAAGTGTGTACGTAATAACAATGGGAGCCAACAAAGTGTGCAGCTGAAAAAACGAGGCAGAAGAAAGTGCACACGGAAAGTATCACAACCATGTTAGTGCCATATACATTGTTTGCTATCAAACTATGAAACTGTAACGGGTAAACCAATTGGGAATATTCAAAAATAACACTCAAACGATAGTAAATTCTTTTCATCAATAAAGTGTTTTGAGCGCCTTTTTTATATCCCTGCAGAGCGTATAATGATTTCAGCCACAAGTTTGAAACGCAGTGAAGGAGACGTTTTCGACCCCATAAAGTATCTATGTTCTTGATCAGTATCACTGGACGAGTCGATCTAGCCATGTCCGTCTGTCCGTTTCTACGCAAACTAGTCTCTTCTCAGTTTTAAAGCTACCGGGACGAAACTCTCCCAAAAGCCTTATTTTATTGCAGGTATTATGTAAGCCGGAACGACTGAGAATGATCAAAAAAAAATTTTTTTTTTATATGTAAAAAAAGATATAACCGGTTTTTTTTGACATATTAATTTCTTCTCTTGGGAATATAATTCTTTAAGTATTTTCTAATTTTGGTTAAATTTTAAATTAAATCGGACGACTTTATCACATAGCTACCATAGGAATGATCGGATTATTAATGTCAAAAGATAGATCGTTATATTTCGATTTCGGTAAACATACACTGTAGTCAATTGAAATGAAACATTATCTTAAAATTTTTAAAACTAGTTTTTAGTTTTTTAAAAAAGTTCTGTACATACAAAGCTTTAACGGGAACAATCTGCGAGGGTATAGAAACTTCGGCTTGCCGAAGTTTACTTCCTTTCTGGTTTATTTTAAAATATATTTTCCTTTGAAGGAGTCGAAGTGACATATTAAATGTATTTGAGTTAAAAGATAAACTTTAAAAAACCTAAAATTTAAAATGTATTTTTAATTTATATTTTATTTTGAATATTTATTTAATTATTACCTTTTCTAATTTTACTTGTTTTTATTGTACCTATAAGAACTTATCTAAGATTTTCTTTTTTAACCAATTTATGTTGCATAGTTTTCTGGGCAGTATTATTATTAATGATCAATAACTTTTGAAAGCCATTTTTCCTGGAACATGCCAAACATGTTCATTCAGAACGATTGGTCTTTGGGATCAGATTTTTAAGTTCAACTACGTATTAAAAATGTAATAAAATAAAATATAGACTAAATAAATTTGACGTCTCTCAAACACGGTCTTCAAAGGCACTATTAGAATCTGCGCGTCATAAGTTAAGTATCTCAAATACAATTTTACATGTTCGATTTTTTAAATTAGTTAATCCAGCTTTATTCAATTCAATTATTCAATTATTATTCAATTTACAAACTTTAATACTCTTATGAACATTTAAGGGAAAAAACAATGCCTTTTGTGATCGGACTACTATAGCAAATTTTCCGTTTTGCGGCTCTACGAATAAGTCTCACTTTCGGTGCGATTCGTAGCAGCGATAACTCAAGGCGAACTATTTTTATGGATTTAAAAATATATCACATGCAGCTTTGTATATGAGTATATAAACCTCGCCTTTCTTCCGCTACTCTCCTGATGATAATCGTTGCAAATGTCCGCTCCCAAATACCACACAAATTTTCCCCGCCTGAGGAACCCTTTGAGCCGTCATCAAATCAATCAAACTCTTTTGGGATACAATTTCGCTCTCGACAATAAGATATTCAATCCGGGGACTCGACGAGATGATATTGCCCATTTCAGGTCACAAAGGTGGCAAGAAAAAAGGGCGAGAGCAGGCGATGAGGAGATACCGAGAAAAAGTGGGAGTGGCAGGCGGCTGACTGGCGAAAAGCGCCACAAAAAGTGGAAATAACGAGCACTGCGTGGGCGAAGGCACAAAGGAAAGAGCAATAAAACGAGGGAACCGGAGAAAGGGCCGAAAAGAAATTAACAAAGTTGGGCACAAAACAAAACGCAAAATGCCAAGTGTGCGGTTATTAAATTTTGCAAGCAATTGACTTGACCAGAGGAAAATGGGGGGTGGCGATGGGTGAGTGGGCGCCGATAATCGATAAATGTTGTGGAAAATGTAGCGCTGGGAAATCGCTACACATGTTGCAGCTGATGGGGCGAAATTAACTAAAATTGAACAGACGTTGCGATTCAGGTTTCAATGTCAGTCGATTGGTCGAGGTCAGGTTCCGAAACAAATGGGCTAATATAAGAGACAGTCATGGACGTCAACCATTATTAAGAGCCCACTATAAAAAATAGATACAATATTTGTGACAACAGACTTAGATAGTATATGTTTTGGTATATTTATAAGAAAGTTAGCATTGTCTATATTTAAGCAATGTTTTCGAACCACTTAAAAATCTGCTAACACGCCCTAAAACTTTTTCAAAAACTTAACTCTTATAAGATGAGTAACTAATTAACTAACAAGTTATTAAAGATTTTCTCCACTTACATTGCTTTGACTGGTTGATTAGCTGTTCTTTAAGTGGTTCTTTTCTGGCACCGCTTCGTATGCGTGATTTTTTAGTAAGTAGTAACTTTCTCGTAATTGACACCGAAACAGCTTTGGGTCGATCCCAATTGACCAAGCACAGAAACGATAGATCGAAATCGGGGAGTAACTTTCCTATAATTTTTGTAGCTGCTTTTTATTTTTTAGCTGCTGTTGCTGTTAGTCGCACACACACTCATGAGCACTCTCTCACGCACACGCACACATCCACCGAGATTTATGTAACACACAGCTGAGGGACCGAAAAAACTTTACGAATTGGCCAAAAATACAAAACCGTTTCTCTTTAACTTGTGTTTTTAAGCTTCAAGGACTGCCATTTTAGGCGTTAGGGGAACCACAGGCTTTAGTCCTTTTTTAATTCTCTGTTTTGATTTATATTTGCTGGCCTTTTTGATATAATCGGCAAGGGTTTCTGGTTGCCCAAACTTGCACGCTCAACTGTCCACGATGTACTGTGCTAACGGTATTTAAGTCGCTTTGGCCAACAGGGCCGAAATACATGGCCAAGAGAGAGACCGAAGGAACTGACAGTACTCTCTCCTTGTCTCTGGCTCTCTCTTGGCAGTCACTTTTTTAGTCCGTTGCCTTTAACAGAACTGGCGCTTCCCAATTACTTGCATTGGAAACGTTGGACCTCAACAATTATTATGTTTCAAAGTGTTTGTAGCCCATTGTGTAGTTTAGATAAGAATTATTTTACCATGGCCTAAGCCAAAGTATTATAATTTAATATTATTATACATTTCATTGGCTCCTCCTAAAACTTGCACTACGGTAAAAGAAGAAAAATGTAAATGATCTTTTAAAAACAAGTTTTATAGCTAGGGATAGTAAATATATTCCTGAACTTCGAAACAAGTCCCCGGATTCCCGTTCCCCACTGACAGCTTCTGTTAAAATGTACTGCCTACTGTTAGGGGCGCGTGTCATGCCTAAAAGGCCCGCTGTAAACTTCAAAACTTACGAGTTATTGTTGTTGCTATCAAACTTTCACTATCACGATTCTATAGGTATGCACCATTAATTTGAGGCTCTCTCCTTTCGCCCGACTCCGTGAACTTGCGGGATGCGCAGGCGCAGAGAGAAGCCATTCTTGGCTGTGGCGGATGGCGGATGGCAGGCCTTTCTGGCCACTTGGGGGCTTGTTTTCGGTTTTCAATGTTAAGTGCGTAGGAGACGCCACGAGTGAGAGTGATAGTGATAGTGATGGAGAGGGAGAGGGAGAGGGAGACAGAGCGGACCAGGGAGCAACGGGGCGAATGCGCAACGCCAGCGATAACGACAGCTGAAAACGACAACAGAGAGACAGGCAGACGGGCGGGATGAGTTGGGGGCTCAAGAGGTTCGTGGAGCTGAGCGTTGACCACCTGGCTATTTTCAGGTTGACAAGTCTAGCTTTTTGCACTTGCAAGAAATCGTGTACATGGTATTCGTGAGGTAGTAATTCATAAAACACATGGAATGGAGCACATTTTTCGATCAAAACAATTCAAATTTTGGGTTGCACACACAAAATCACCCAATGTAAAATCAACGATTTATTTGTTAAAAGGCCCACCAGTAAAAAATGGATAATTCTCAAGAAAATATAAATTTACCTTAACCTTTCTGTTGACGTATTTATATAATTTTTCTTGTTTATTATAATCCATGTGTAATGAGTATATAAAAAAATGTATGTCTCCAAAAATGAGTGCTGCATTTATATTATCGCAAAGGAAAATTTACTTTTCGGGGCTCCACCCAAAAGCTTGGCTTTCTTAATTCCAAGTTCAGGTAAGCATCATCGTAATCGTCATAGTCATTGGAAGTCCACTAAATTTAAATATATAATGAGTTAAAAATAGTCAACAATATATACTAGTAAACTTACATAGTTCAGGGTATCGATTTCAAAAATCCCGCGCAATTTTAGTGGTGGATGAATGGGTGGATCCCTGTAAAGCTTAATACTGTTCAAGATAACTTTTACGTAATCTTTTGTAAACAAGTTATAGTATCTATAAAGATAAATCGATCTTAGTTTCCGGCATGATTCAAGAAAGTAGAGAACAAAGTTGCTTTCATCTCTCTCTGCATAATGGGTTGATGTAATTTGCAAGTCTTCCAGATTTGTTAACTGGGCCAGCATAGGGACAAATCGCTTGTCGGCAAGTCCCAGTCGTAAGGTGGTGAGCCAATTTATTTTTGTTACTTCCACAACATCTAAAAATTCCAAGTGGGTGTCATCCAAAAGCAAGTTTTGGAGACTGCTTAAAACTTTCAGTTCCTTCAGAAGCGCCCATGTTACATTTTCTTGAGTATTATGTATATGTAGTTCTACGAGGTTTTGTAAAGAAGATAGAGACCAAAAATCTTCCACATGATACACAGAGCACTCTAAGAACTTTATTTTCTAGTATTGGGATACCATATGTATCTGGTGAAGTGGAAGTGAGAGTAGCCGCATTCTCTGAGGAGATCGCGAGATTATAGTCCTCAAAAGCTTGTAGACGGCCTGGGATGCATAATTAATGTGAATACTTAGTTCCCTGATATTCGACAATTTAGCTAACTGTTCGAAATTATAAGGTGTATTATATATTTGTTCTGAACTTTTACTGTGGACCTTAGGGTTTGTATTATTATTGCTTGTTGGTTGTTGCCAACTTTTGTCAGCCAGTTTTCCCAGCTGCAATCGTTCCAAGGTTTGTATTCCAGAAAGCTCGAAAATCTCTTCGGAAGTAAGGCTTTTGTGGATACTGAGGCTTCGAAATAGTCGATCCTCCTTTGAGGCAAGGGCTTTAAAAAGATTTGTCAAGGATCCCTCCGGATGGTCGGTGATAGTTAGGGACTCGAGGTAGTTTAACTTGACCAGGTATTCAATATTTCTGGAAGAGCAGAAGCCGCATTCCAAAACTTTTAAACTATGTACTCGAGCCAGTTCTATAAGATCTTCAGGGCTGACCACTTTAATTTGTAATTCCTCCAGGTTTTGGATTAACTTGATTAAATTTATTAAAGGAAGATCGCCGATGTGGCCCTTAATCAAAAGAGTTGTCAAGTTATTTAAGGAGGCTAGAGGTTCGAAAAATCTAGCGCAATACGTTAGATCAATTATTGGAAATCGAATTAATTTATCGGTGAAGTCTAGTATAAGTTTAACAGCACTATTTCTATGGATTATACAAATATTACACAATTCTGTTTCATTTCGATCCACTCGGCTTGCAATCTCCTTAATCGCATTGAGCTGTTTGACCTTCAATGCGACTGTATCTTTAAAATTGGAAGCCCTACAAACAATATTCATCAAGGATGGAATAGAAGCAAGAATATTTGCATGTTCTGAGGAAAATGAGAGACAGCGACTGATATCTATCTTTTTAAGAAGCTGTGGTTCTCTACTTGCTAGTCCCTCAAATACGGCTTTCAATATAGAGCCCTTGAATGTTCCAGATAAATATAACTTATCGATATTTGGAAGCTGAGCAACGTGAGTTATGTGATTAAACATGTCTTCGTCATCATTTTTATTATATGGCGTTTTTGTATGACGATAAGGTTCAAAATTATCTTTATCATTAAGTGACACTTTCAATCTCCCAAGTTCCTCGGCTAAGGTAATATAAAAGTTGCAGCCTATAATATTGACGGCGGACTTTTTAAACAAGTTTATCAAATGATCCATTAAAATTATTTGACCTGGACGAACATATATATCGACTGATTCTAGATTCTTAGATTTTGCCAAAACCGCAATGCTCTCTCCATCACTAAAACCGCTCGAAATACGGGATAAAGTGTTAATTCTTGAAATCGCCTGTGCCTCTTGCTTAATAAGAAAAGTTTCCGGAACCTCTAAATACTTTAGGACACTTTTTTCGAGACCTTCAAAACACTTTACCAAAGTTCCCGCTCGATGGTTTCCTTTAAGTTTTAATTTCAGAAGTTTGGGCAAACTTGCCAGCGTGGCATACTCTGTTGCATCCACATCTGTCTTCATCGTTAACTCCAAGTATTCCAGTTTATTACAGTATGGCACAATATCCGAAAACCTTCCATATAGTTCGGTGCTCTTGAATTCGAGAACGACTAAATTCTGATTAGAACGGCACAGCTCTACCAAATCATCTGCTTGCATTTTAGCATTTATATACACTTCCCTTAATCGGTCGAGCTCTGGCACATTTTGGAAGCTATAGCCTGTAAGCTCAAGGTCCTCAGATCACATTTGTTGTAGGCCCTAAGCATATCAAACTCACCTTCAACATAAACCTTAAGAATTCGAAGAGAGTTCTTGTGTCTAATGGCATCTACCACGGCCTGGAACCTTTCCAAGTGTTCGGGATAGTATCGAGTTGGTTTATAGTTCAATGTTAGACGACCCAGGTCTTTATTCTCCCTTATCGCGTTAAAACACAAGTCCCAATATATTTCTCGTTCTCTTCTGGGAACATTTTGTAATGAGTCGTATACCTTCTAAAAATCTATTTCAATGACTTTAGTAGCTTGTAACAATGCAAACTCGATATGCAGTTCATGGTAAAGAACACTGCTCCACTGGTTAAATACTTTGACGAATCTCAAGCAGCTGATTACGAAATTAATAAGATCACAATAATCGACAGTTTTTTTCTGTAACTTATTGTCCAGTTCGCAGTTAGCTTTGATTTGTCGGAATATCTCAAATAAACAATCATCGTTCAGGTCTGATATTTTTCTAGTGCTCATAATAGTAATGCTTCAGCCCCAAAATCACGACTAAATTAGTCAGTTCCAAAAAATTACTGCCATGTAGATTGGTAGCAGTCGTTGTTTTTAGCGTCGGCTGCAGTTTATAATCTTATCGGGAGAGCCAATAGAAATAAGTTTTCGTACTTTTCTTTACAAAACTTGATATCAGTAAAAGTTTGAGGTGAGACACTTTTGTACTTTCTTGACGACTCCTATAAGCTTAGGGCGTTAATACTTTAACTGGTAGTCAAAATGTTTTCCCCCTAAACTAAAAAAAGTAACCTATCGTGACTAATGTATTAATTAATAAGTGAGCTTTTATTATTAGAAAATTAATAAATCAGTAACCTTAAAAAAATATTTCTTTACCTGTAATGCACAGAGTTTTTATACCCGTTACTCGTCGAGTATAAGCGTATGTTACATGTATAAGGAAGAAAGATGGAATTATATATGTTCTTGATCAGGATTACTATTTACTTATTCTATATAAAATAATTTTAACTTCCTTTTCGTGATCGTCCAACTCTACCAGGAACTACCATCATCCTTCTTTGGGCATCTTGGCTGTAACCTAGAGTTATTAATACCCATGTATACGTATACCAAAAATATTTCAAATCAGACTATTATTTAAAAGTTTTAAGCAAATAAAGAATTGAAACTATGTGGCGTATTTGGCGTAGTGTGCACTTGCTTTAGCAGAGTAATAGGTATCTAATACTCGAGGCCGTCGACCATAGCGTTCTTTCTGGTTTTCATCAAATTGTCTTGGAGACAGCTATTTTTACAATTACAGAATTTCAAATAAAATTATTTTTTAATTGGACGACTTTATCATATAGTTGTCATAGGAAATTTCAGTGTATTTTATACAAATCTTTTACGTATACATATATAAACTGTAGATCCCAAATTTTAAAAGGGATTAAAAATCACTCTGCCTTGGTCACATAGTTTTTAAATTTTTCTCTAAATTGAAAAAAGTTAATATCCGATATATATAATAAATTCTTAGAAAAACGTTGCAAAGTTAGGTGGTTTTTTTTTAATAATTGTATCTTCATTTAAAATTGGGTTTAGAATCCTTTTTTGGGCTACATTTAAAAGATTTTATGCAATAGCCTAGGCCACAACGTAGCACAAGGTGCGCCCGTAAGTATGCAGATAATTTCCTTTGGCACTTGCGTTTGCCAGTGTGCGGAAAATGCGTAGGGCCATGCTCCACCATGGGCATTACACACACCATCGAGCAATCAAACAAACATTGAAACATTCAACCATTTGTGTCAATCTGTCAGTCACTCAGGCAGAAAGTCCTTCACTCAGTTTTTAACGCTTTTAAAGGTTGCCTGCCACGATAAACAGGAATCGATATTGGCTAACGGAGGCGAGATTTTTATTCCATATATAAAGTATATACCGGTACGATTATTATACACGTGTGCAACTATACAAGAATGGAAAAAGTAACATCTACTACAAAATTTACACCCTAAGCTTCAGCCATTCGACTTACAATTTACATATTTTTGGTTATTTAACCGCACTGATTGTTAATTATTAGAGAACTATAGGTTTGATATATGAAATTAAACGTATGAGTAGCACTCGCTAAGGGCTATACAAACTAAAGGATATTTTTGATTGTGTAGCCCCACCCTATAATTATTCCTCCTGGCGATGAGTTCTGCTTATCAATGGTCGCACAGGAAACACAATACAAAATGATACAATGAAATAAGGATATGCCACTGCTCAACAATAGAACACCGAGCAGGGGGCTTACGAAGGGGGGAACGAACATACAGGTTGTATGTGTCTGTTATGCGAAGAGTGTTATGCGGCGTTACCGCGTTAAACGTAAATCAATAAACGCACAGAACGGAAATTTCGAACACCTGTAAGAGATAATTGACGCGAAATTAAATTTTATGTTGCCACAGCTTGTAACAACAATGTCGATTTATTAAACGTATACAATGCTTTAATTGAGCGAGTCCTAGAAAAGAAACAAGTTTTCTATTAATGAAAACCACTTTCTTTAGAAGAATTATTTAAAAACGTCTTTAATGAAAATTATTTCATTTTCCGTTGAGTCGTTTTTCTTTGTTCATTGTTTCTTAACACTTTTTCGTTCCTGATGACAAGATCGGTACGATATCAATATCAACCATTTTGACGTATCAGTAGATTTCGGGATAATAAGAAACGTTTGACGAAATCAGAAAATCAAAAACCAAAAAGTCTGCTCCATCGGGTGCAACGGCCAACGTTGGATGAGATCTGAGTGGATGACGTTACGAAGATCTTGCCGCCGGGTGACTGAAAATGTATTTAACCAGAGTTAACAGCAGTATTGCTTTAACCGGGCCCTAAATCTGTTATTGAAGGTGGGGGATCTTTCCAACATTTCCTGCTTTGGCAACGCCGCGCATCAGAAGAACCCCCCAGTATCCTTGTTTCCATTTCTTGTTTGTTCAAAATGGTTACAAGGACAACCCGATTATGAGAATCCATAAATGACTGTGTGGGTTGTGCTGTGTTGGGTCTGGTAACATTTTGACCTTACTGGGCTCACAATCAGTTCGGGTTGCGCGGATGGAGAGGACGACGAGGATATGGCCAGGAGGATGAGCAGGAGGATGAGCAGACAAAGCGTTGACAATGCCCTAACAAAAGAAACACAAAACAGACGAGCAGATAATGGACGTGACGATATTGGGAGGGGGCGCAATGGCAAAATGTATTTACATAGCTTATATGGTCGGGATAAGCTCCATTGTTTCATGCATAAAAACAAAAACAATGCAAGCGAAAGGGGGGGGATTCGCGGAATGCATCTGCACGAGTAGTTCCCTGAGCTCCAAGCTAAAGTGCTCCAATATGGTCATACAATAAGATTTGGATGAGAGTTCCAAGATATCGGCCAACTACGCACAAACTTTTATCCTTTTAAGCACGGAGAAGGAGTTCTTAGTTTATGTAAGCTACATAAAAACATATTTATATTCGCTTAAAGAAATTTAATAAAAATATTTTAAGGAATTGTCCTACCAAAGACACAGTAAAAGCTGACCAATGACGGGAACGGTCAAAAATATTTTATGCTTTTTAAGATGATCATTTTCGTAAAGAAGAATTTGTAAACATTCAACTAAATAAATTGGAAGATAGGATCGATTAAAGGGGTATATTTAAAATCGATTGAAGAAACAGATACGATTTTTGGAGCAACAAAGCTGTATTATACCTCTAAAATGATTCCAGGACCCAAAAAATCAAACAGTTCACAATTTGGCATTTTTTTACCTGTTACTCCTAGATCAAAGGAATGTATTATATTCGCGGATATATATTAATTCTTGATCAGGATCGAGAGATTGTTGCGCATTGCATTTCAGCAGGGTGCCACGCCCACTCTAGCGCACACAAAAAAAGTCCAAAACTGTAGCACCCGCAGTTTGAATCCATAATTGATGATCTAATTGACGAAATCGAACCACTAGTTAAAAAGTACCGACATGCGATTTCGGAAAAAGTCTCTTTTCCGCTTGCTTATTTCAATCTCCCTTCCGCTCCCTCTAGCTGACCAACGGGTATGTCTTAGACGAGGCAATCGACAATTGCGGTCTTCATTACTTACATTAACTTTCAAAAAGACTGGCAAGTAAATGGATGTTTGCTAATAATGAACAAACTTTCATTACTCAAGACTCAGCATTGAACATTAAAAATGTGCTTAGAAAAAATGGCTAATTTGCGTTGAAAACGGAGTTTTGATACGCCCCCAATATAACTTTAAAATCTTGTCTGAAGCCGATGGCGATGTTTAAGAGCAGCGACCATAAGATACGGAACGCAAATTAAATAAACCCAACCAAAAGTTGTTTCTGACAAGTATCATATATAACCGTTGTTAAAATAAATAGTTCCGAATTTCCCTGAATTTAAATAATTTTAATTTGTTGGTTTGCCTTGAGGGTCTAATATAAAATGAACTCGCCATGCAATGGCTTCACATACAAATTCAACTAAATTATAAGTTAAAGAACTAATTGTAGTACAGAGCAGTCGAGGTGCCTTATCTCCACTACAGCTCCGAGTGGGCGTACTCCTCGTGCGTGGAACTCTTCTCCTTGGGCACGATGAAGAGGCCCTCCGCCGTGGTCCAGCGCGTTCCGTGCTGCTGCTTGTGCACGCCCACGATCTCCATTTGGCCGGAGATGGGTCTGCCGTAGGAGCGTCCGGACATGCCCAGGTACATGCCGGTGTCGATGTGGCGCAGTCTAATGTGGGCACTCCGCATCCAGCTGTCGTTGGAGCAGACCACCTCCCAGTGGTCGCCGGTGTCGCCGAGGCCGTCGGTTCCGTAGGCGGAAACCTCCTGCTCGCCAGAGAGCGGTGACGAGAAGTGATGCGAGTGGAGGTTCTTCTTGGTGGTCAGGTGCTCTAGTCGCACGGTGGATCCGCAGGCGATGGGCTCGCCCCGTTCGCACAGCTCGCCGGTCTGGGCCTTGACCACCCAGTGGCTGTTTACGTCCTCCTTCTGCTCCACTCCCGTCACCGACTGCTGGCCGGATCCGGATCCGTACTTTACGTCATGGGAGTGCAGGCGGAAGGAGTAATCCGAGTTGAGGAGCTTCAGGATGGAGCCGCAGGTGACCACGTTGGAGTCCGTGGCTGTTTCCGGAGTGGGGAAGATAAGGATGGAGATAAATGTTAATGATGGCGATTGTGGACACTGAAGGGTCGAAAAGAGTGGCGTGGCCAATCACAGAAGCCCACATAGACGCGAGATTCCCTGGGGTCAAAACTTACCGGCAGCGCTGGAAAGGCTGCTGACCAGCGCAAGTCCCGCGAGGAGTAGTCCGTGCTGCATCTCGTCCTGCCCTAGTTATCTTATCCCGTCCTGGGTATTTAAGTCAGCCAAGCTGTGCCGGCAATCACGATTAAAATTCGCGTTGAACACGCAAACAATTCAGTTTTTGGTGACAGGGGTGGTGTGACCATCTGTTAAGGAACCAATTTAACCAACTCTCCTTAAAAATACTGAA